ACGATCACATCGGCCGGGACGATCGCCTGATCGGCCGAGACGATGACCTAGACGATCTACATTGGACAACTCGAATTCAGGGCTATGATCAGGACGATTGAAATCGGTTTTAAACTAATCGGCCTGAACGATCGTGATATCGGCCTGGACGATGTAACCAATTTTCTTCTAATCGTACCAATTCGTCCTAGGCCGTTGAGCTGTATTTGAACTAATCGGCCAGGACGATATGCCTATTATCCTGGACGATAATGTCGGCAACTTACATTAATGAGCTCGTTTTTATCTCTTCTATTTAAGCTTGACATGGCACTTTATAAGTGTCTTTGGCAGCCATTGTAGCTTCGTTATTGTGGGGGAAACTTGGAGAGAGACCTTGAAAGGGAGAGAAGAAAGGGTGGAGTTTTAGAGGGAGAAGATCTTGTGAGGGGGAGGAACTCAAGGGAGTGTGGTGGGGGATCCACACGGTTTCTAAGGCAAATTTGCACCGTAGTACCATCGGATTCAAGGCTTGTCTCGAGGTAAGTTCACCAAAGAAAAAGATCTCCTTGGTGTCAAAGGACCCGGCGACTCCGCCGCACCGAGGAAGGTGGAAGTGATTTTGTAAGGGCTTCTCCGCCTAGTTTTGGGGGCTAATGGAGAGACACTTATTTTAGTGCAATACTTGGAGGGTGCCTCCAAGGAGTGGACGTAGATCAAGGTTTGACCGAACCACTATAAATCTAGTGTGTTCTTTTCTTATTATCGCTTACGCATTTATTTAATTTCTGCACTTTTTTTGTGGTGATTTGGTTTATGATTTTATTTATTTGTGTAAAGAATTTTTATTATCCAATTCACCCCCCTCTTTGTTAGCCTTGGGATAGTTCTATAGGGCTTAACATCCCTAATGAACTTTCAGAATTCTCATGTTCCAGTTAGGTCATTTTCATCATCTTCTCCGGCTTTTAAAGATGGACTTCCTTGATTTTCTCAATGAACAAAACCAAAGGTAAGACCAGGAATGCCTTTAGTTATTAATGAAGGAGGACTGTTATCTTCTTCTAAAAAAGTTTTAGAAGTTGTTGGTAAAGGAAAAAGTGTGATGGTTGATGATATTGGCAAGTCACAGTTCAAAACAGTGAAAGATTCTAGAATGATGGAGTCTTAGGATGCTTTTTCATCTGTAATGTTATTTTCATAAAAAAATTTAGAGGATAATATGGTGGAGAAAGGTTCTGAAATACATGAATCTGATGCTGGAAAAAATAATTCGGTCCTTCAGTGTGATTGAGTGGCTGATGGAACCTTGGTGAGTTCAATGAAGGAAGATGTTGCTGGGTCTTATGAAAATGAGAAATTGAATAATTTTGATTTGGTGAGAGTTTGTGAATGCAATCCAATAGAATTGGGGATGTGTAAGGAAGCTTGAAATGAAGTCATGCCAAGACCTATGTCCTCTAATAAGAAAAATGTTTGGAGTCAGAAGGAGAACATTAAGGTACTAAGTCTGGAATTGGGAGAATATTTATCTGAAGATGGATTTTCTGTGAAATTGAATGTGAATAATGAGTTGGAGAACTCTAGAAAGCTTCAAAACCTATTAGTAATTAAAGTATTTGGAAGCAAGGTTCCATCCCTGTAGTAAGCACTAAGCTAAGGATGCAGTGGGCTCCTTTTGAGAAGTTTCATCTCACAATACTTGGTTTGGACTGGGTCCTTTCTTCTTTCTATGAGAAATCAGCACTGGAAGTAGTCTTCTCAAATAGTCCTTGGTTTGCCAATGGGATTTTTAACAGGATGGATAGATGGTCGCCAAATTTCTCTCCCACATCCTTAAAAGGTTGATATGCTCCTATCTTGATTAGGATGCCTAACCTTTTGTTACAATATTGGGATGAAATCAATATTTGTAGAATCGCTTTTATGGTTGGAAAACCTTACATGATTGATGGAAATATGTTTTAATGGGGAAGGAGGGAGTTTGGGAGGATTTGTGTCTGTATCAAATTGGATACTCAACTACCTCTTGGAGTATGGGTGGAAGGGAGCTCTGGTATGTTCTTTCAAAAAATTGAATATGAAAGAATTCCGAATTTTTATTTTGTTTGTGGCAAAATTGGGCATATGAAGAATGAATGTTTAGAGAAAAGAGTGGATGAAAATATTGTTTCAAAGGAAGTTGTAAGATCTTCTAAGCAAATGGAGGAAGAAAGTTAAAAAATGAAAAATATTTCATCTGTTTAAGCTCCTTGTGTTGCAAAAGATGGATATGGTCCATGGTTGCAAGTCAGTTATGGGAGGAAAAGAAATACAAAATTTGATTTCAAGAAAATAATCCCTCAGAACAAGGATCAATTGGAGAATAAAATCTATGGAAGTGATACAGAGAAACCTAAATAGAACATTGCTAAAGCTGAGAAGAGCTTAATAGTGGAGGAGGTTGTGGTTCAGGCAGATAATGCTGATGGATATAAAGAGAATAAGAAGGAACCAAATCAAAAATCTTTGGAAAGTTTAGCCATTTTGATCATAGATGCTAACGGTATGTCCCTCAATACATCTAATATTATTTTTGAAAATAAATTCAATATTTTAGATGGTTTGGTAGAGGAACGAGAGATTGTTTGCTTAGAGGGGGTTGGTGCCAATAGGATTGAAGAAATGAATGGGTTTAACAAAGATGTTGTTGTTAATCCGAAGTCTAATATGGAGGGATTGAAGGTGGGAATTGATGTGAAGGAAGATGGTTCCTCTAATGTTAAAAGGAAAGGATCTAAACAATTAAAAAGGTTGTGTCCTATCAATTTGGTTTCTAGGGGTAGGAGAGCTGAAGTTGAAAGTAAAGATAAGTTGGGGACTTTATCCCCTCTTATTCAATGACTTCTTCCATAGTCTTTTTTAATTGTAGAAGAGCTAGGAAGAACAAAGCTTCTCTTTACTTGAAGGAGGTTGTTAAGGAGTATGGGTTTTTTTTATTGGTTTATTGGAAACCAAAATCTCAAATATTAAAAGGAAGGATGTTAATCAGCTTATTGGTTCAGAGTGGGATTTATTTCAAGTCTTTTCAGAAGGTTTGTCAGGGAGTATTCTTGGGGTATGGAAATCAAGTAGTGTCAACTTTCAAATTATAGAAGCTTCTTCTCAATTTATTGTTGGCGATTTGGATGTTACGAACTAAGGCAAGTGGAGGATTGCTTCAATTTATGGTAACAAGGATGTTTATAAAAGAAGAATGCTTTGGGAAAGAATGGAATACTATTCCTCTAAGGATTTTCCTATGGTAATAGGAGGAGACTTTAATTGTATTCTTTCTAGAGAGGACAAGATGGGAGGGAAAATATTCAAATTTTCCCTAGGACCTAAAGAAAAGAAGACTTTTCTAGCTTGCAATGATTTTCATGAAGTTGGATATGCAGGACCAAGGTTTACTTGGTGTAACAACAAAAAATGTGTGGATCGGATCCTTGAAAGACTTGATAGGTGCTTCTTAAACTCTGCTGTATTGAATTTATCAAATCATTTTGTTGTAAGGCACTTGGCTCGTGTGGCTTCGGACCATTGTCTGGTACTCTTAAATCTCATGGTTCAGCAATCAACTAAGAAGGTTTTAAGGTTTTAAGATATTTGGGCCTCTAACAAGGCTTCGACTGCAGTGGTTAAAGGTGCCTAGTTGAGGAAATGTGAAGGAAGCTTTACTCAAATCCTGAATATTAAAATGAAGAAATCGTTAAAAGCTTTATTTTATTCGATCGAAGCAAAATTGAAAAGTTTATTTTCACTTAAAATTTATCTATTAAAACAAATAGAGGATCTTCAAATGAAAGAAGCTAATGAAGGAGATCTTTTGGATGAGAATGCTGGTTGCAAAAAGTAAAGGTGGGTGAACTCAACTCTACTCTTGCTTGGTTGGATACATGGTGGAGGCAAAGGGCTAAGGTGAAGTGGATGTTGGTGAGAGATCATAATTCAAAGTTTTTTCAAGCTTTTGCCTCAACAAGAAGGAATTCAAACTACATTCCAAAAATAAAAAATGAAAATGGTGAAATTGTGGAAGATCAACATCAAATTAAGGATGTTATGGTTTGCTACTTCAAAAAGAAATGGAAAAATAGGGAATGCAAGCTTGAAAATTGGCCTAGACCATGGAATTGTCTAGATGATGATTGAGAACTGTTGAAGAAAACATTCTCTATTGAAGAGATTGAAGAAGTGATCAATATAGTGGAAATAATATCTCTCCAGGTAATGATGGGATTACTTTTTTCTTTCTTTAAAGATTATTGGGAAATTATTAAACTTGACTTGTGAATGCCATCAATTATTTTTTTGAGTCATCGAATATGGACTCAAATTGGAAGGAAACAATTATTGTGATTATTCCAAAAGTTAGCAACCCGGTAGCGCTTCTAACTTTTGGCCTATAAGTTTATGTAATACCGTTTATAAATTGGTGTCTAAAATTCTTATGAATAGGATGTCTTCTATCATCCCTAAATTGAACTCAGAAGAGCAAGCGACTTTCTTGAAAGGAAGATATTTATCAGATCATGTATTAAACTTAGGCATTCTAAATCTTCAAAAGGTTTTGTTTCTTTCAAAATTTACATGGAGCATGCCTACGATTTGATGGGGTGGCCAACTTTGG